CATGATTTTAGAAAATTTTAGAAAATAACCATCCCATTTTCATGTGATGAACAAGTGTGAATTCTTTTTTTAATCCCTGGCTAAAACTTGTGACCAGTATTTCTCCCTTGTACTAACTCCAAATGGGATGGTTTTTTTCTAAAATTTTGTAAAATCATGCTCTAACCATTTATTGTGTTTTTACTGCTATTAGTTTGTTCATCTTTTCACGTGACTTTATTTGAACAATTTAAATTTTGAATTTCAAAAAACTACAACTTGAAACCAGATTTTTAAACACTAAATGATCTTAGCTGAAAAATCATCAATATAAAGTTGTAGCTCTATTAAATTATTGTGGTCATGTTCTCATGTGACTTTATTTGAAAAAATCATATTTTGAATTCCAAAAATATGGAAACATGGAACAACATATTGAAGGAGCATATGGATTCAAATGAAAAAGTCATGAACATAAAAGTTGTAGAACTCATCAATCTCTAAAACTTTTGTTTTGGTCATATTTTTATGTGACTAAATTTAAACAATTCAAATTTTGAATTATAATAAATGATATATTCGAACAAAATTTTGAGACACCAAATGATTTGAACTAAAAAAGTCATGAACATAAACGTTGTAGAACTCATCAAGACCTACAACTTTTATTTTGGTCATTTCTTTATTTGATAAAGTGATAGTAATATTGTTCACAAAACTTACGTATCTCTCGTATAGTTTATGAAACTATATGAGAGATGTAAAATTTATGAACAATGTTCTTATCACTTTGTTGGACGAACAAATGACCAAAATAGAAGTTTTAGATCTTGATAAGTTATACAACTTTTATATTCATGACATTTTCAGCTGAAATCACTCTTTGAAAATATTGTTTAAAGTTGTCATTTTATGAAATTCAAAATTTGAACTTTTCAAACTAAGTCACGTGAAAAAAAATGATCAAAATGAAAGTTGTAAATCTTGATGAGTTTTAGAACTTTGATGTTTACAACATTTTCATTTTAGGTCATTTTCTGTCTTAAAATTCAATTCAAAGCTCACAAATTCAAATTTTTTATTTTTAAATATAATTTTTTTATTTAAAAAAACAAAATGTATCATTATATATATCAGCGAGTTGTTTTTTATGTGTACGAGCAAATATAGCAAAATGTTTTTAATACATTTATATATACATTTATAAAAAATATATGCAGAACTAATATTTAAAAATTTACTAAATTATTTGTAGGGGCGGCTGGTGAGTGATCCGGTCCTACAAATCAACCTATTTGTAGAGGCGGCTGGTCTCATGAGACCCGGCGGGGGCACCGTAGGGGCGGCTAAAAAAGGTGCAGTTGCTACGAACTAGTTCTGTAGTAGTGTGAACATGCCCTGCCTGTCCAACACAACAGTCAATAGCCATGTATCCGTTCCTGAACGAACGAACGAACCAACCAACACAGTAGCTTCGCCGGCCAAGCATCAAGCAATGCAAGCCCTGGTTTGTTTGTTTGTTTCTCTGCCGATGCTGATTCGCATGCCCGTCTCCCTGCATTGGCATGCATTGCCGGCACGAGTTTGGAAAGTGGACAGAGGAATCTTCCTTGCAGTAGCAGTAGCAATCGGACATCGGACAGGCGACAGCCAGCCCCAGCAGCCCATGTCCTTCTTGCGCAAAGGAAAAGGGGACTCCAGCAGAGTGGGAACTCGAAAATGGACAGAAATGTGCGCCCCAGGCAGTGCCACATGCTGGTAATGGTGCGTCCTTCTTTGCTCCCCTTTCCCGACCGACTGATTACACTGCTCCCCTCCGTTTCTTTAGGATTTATTACTTAAACTTTGTAGACATTTCACTAACATCTGCTCTTTCAGCTCTGAATCATTAGTTATTTCGATTTGTCTAAATATATAGTTTTTGCCATGTATCTAGACAATAGGGTATATCTAGTTTTATAGAAGAAAAAAAAGCTATATACACCATGAAACACTAAAAGGACTTACAATTTGAAACAGGTGCAGTAATCAAATTTTATGCATGTATGGTTGTATGCTTGGCACATGAAATTATTTACACTAACCTTTTAATCGAACATTCGTTTTATAGTATACTCACAAACTAGTTGACGGAGACCAAAGTCTAGAACTTTCTAATAAACTAGACGTTGGAACATAAAAGGCTACATATTATTCTATCAGGTCTAGAACTTCTTGGCAGAGAGTCAAACAGGAACTTCTAGACACCAAAACATTTTACGGACCCCAAATCATGTTGATCCAAGTGCTTGCGTGTCTCTCATGTTAGCACAGGTTTCAGTTAGTTTGAGCACTTAAAACATGTCGAACCATTCATGTTACATCGACATACATATACTCAAGATAAAAAAAGGTATGCCCATTTCAAAAACTTGAGTATTGAGTATCTTTGTATGTCATTTCTTCTTAATATATCTTCATAAGTGTTTGCAATAATCTATGTCTCATTCTTTTTAACCAATGCAACATAATTTTCAGCTTGTATCTTGAACCATTTCAACACATGTGAGTTCAATTCATGGCTTTCACTTCCACTTATGATACAACAATTATTTGGTCCTCCACAAAATATGACTCCTCATAGCTCGATTAGTTATCGGTTCATTTCAAGTACCCTCTTCTTTCACTTAGACATGGACCATGGTACCTCTGTTTCCAAGCCGTCACTTGCACTTCACATTGCTTAGTACCTCCAAACAATTTCCTTGCCACCTTCACCTTATTGAGTACAATGTCTTGAATCAACATTGAGCACTCAATTGAAATATATGTGATCCTTGCTTGAATGTCTTCTTTAATATGAATCTTGAGATCAGTCAAGTTTCAATGTTTTCCTTTCTTGAAATATGGTGACTTGATCAACTTTGTCCTTGAATATGAGCACCATCAATGTGATCAAGTAACTGTACTTGCCCTTTGATGAATATGAAATTTGATATCATCATTGTTAATTTGATATGGCAGGCCCTTCATGTAAAAACAATCCATATGTAGTCACTCATGTCTCATTATTTGTTCTTAAATAATGTTTGCCTTCTTCATCAATCATTAAATCCTAATTTTGATAATACACAGCATGTACAAGCTTCATGTGTAAGATCAACTGATATGCATCACACCATGTCTCTTTCTATACACTCTTCGCATATGCTTGTTATATTTTCACTTATTCAAGTTTTATTCATTCTCCTATCTTGGTCAATACCAATCAACTACCAATCTCTTCCTATTCATGCAAAACAAGCCACTACTGAGACCAAACCGTATTCATTTCACTTTGTCTCTTTTTCTTATTAATATGCCCAATTCTTCATTTGAGATATGACACGAGTTTTGATATGATCTTTAGCAATGGCACCTATCCAAAGACTCATCAAACTAACCAAGCACACTGACGACAATGTTGTGAGAAACCGACAACAGAGAAAAGCTACAAGCACCGCCCAAGGCGGTGGCGGTGTGGTGGCTTGTCGATGACGATGGACAAGCCCGCCCAAGCACCGCTGTGAGATCCCCACCCCTGCGGCACACTGACGAGCGCTCTGTGATGGCTCGCTGTCGGGCGGTGTCGCTATTGTATGGGTGGGGGGTGTAAAGAAACCAACCATCATCTGTGTAATCAGTGGTTTGATGTTTTAGAATACCCTTAAGGGCTTCCATAAAAATGTGGAGTTGGCACCCAACTCTCCTTTTTTTTTCTAGAATACAGTTTATGGCATTAGCTTATTTGCCAAACAATGTCCAAGTAGAGTTAAAAAAATAAATAGGGCAGAACAGTCACAAATATTCCCTTGGGTGGCCCTTTTCGAAGCCCAATCATCCTAGCCTTTAGCATCTTGTTTTGTGTAGGTGAGTGATTTTTTTGCGTGGGATCTTGTCCTTTTTTTCCTCCTGCGTGGTCACGTACTCACGTTGGTTGTAAGCTCGTTTGTATCTCTCTAGATAAACTTTTGTAACTTTTTTGCCTCGTTGATAAACTATGTGCTCATTTTGTGTAGGGTCTTGTCATTTTCTTCTTGTAGACTCTTTCTTCTCTTCTTTCATCATGTTCGCTGGTTGGTTTCAACCAGTCTTATTCAACTAGCCAACAGTGTTTTTCTCAAAAAAAAAGTCAGCACCAGCCAGCCCAAACCAACACCAGCACCAACAAGCGAACAGGGTGTTTATACAAACATATGTATCAGTTTCGTGTAGGCGAGTTTCGTAGCCCACGGTTAATTGGTAGAGAGCAAGATAGTAAATTTTACCAGGTGGCGTATAAAATAAGGTAATTTCCACAAATATAAACAAAGCTTCGTAGGCCATGGTTAGTTGGGTAGAGAGTTCCACAGGGTACTCAGAAGACAAGCCTAGGCCGGCAGGGTAACGGTAACCAAAGAAGAAGGTACGACCGAGGTGAAGGCTCTTCCGGTGGTCGTCGTCGGCCATCCGTCTCCAGCCCAATCCAGAAAACGAATCGACGTCCGCGTTCCCGTACCGTACCGCGATGACGAGCTCCGATCACGCCGTCGCGGAGCCATTAGCCCCGTTCACACGGCACCCTCTTTTTATCCTAGCCACGAATTTGCCGCCCCTTTTAACCTTCTCCTTTTCCGATGTAGAAATTTCATGTGAACGGGGCCGTGTCGTGTAGACCAACCACGTCACACGTCGTGCTGAAGCAGGGACTTTGATTTTTTTTTTCTTTTCCTCTTCGGATAAAATGGCAGCATATTTACAGAGCAGAGTTTCCTTCCTCGCTCAAACGAAAAAAATAATTAATCTACAAACGCAAATATAAATAAAAAAGAAAAAAACTAAAATTCTATTAACAAATCCTCCGTCTGCAAGAGGATGAACCCCCCGAAGTCAACAGCCTGCCTACCGAACAACGCTAACGGCGAACGAACGAAACAAAGAGAAGCAACCAATCGAGCTCTCTCCGCCTCTCCGGCCGCGGACGAAACGGCGCGCGGAGGCCGGCCGCGGCCGAGGCCAGGAGGTCAGTAGGAGCAGGTGAACCGGTGCGCGGAGCGGTCGCGGAGCATGCCGCGGTAGAGCGCCTCCCGGTTGGCCGGCATCATGCGGTCCTCCGACCCCGCCGTGTCCCTGCAGGTGGACGCCGACGACGACGACGGCGACGTTGACGACGCGGCGGCGGCGGCAGCGGGCGGGTGGCGGCGGGCGGGCGGTGCGCCCTCATTGTCGACGACATCGGCCGCGAACCGCACCCGTCTCTCGCCCCTGCGTCTCCTCGCCTTCGCCTTCCCCCCGCGCGTCCGCCTCTCTGCGTGCGCAGCGGCGAGCAAGGAACAGAGCTGTGAGAATCCCGTCCGCCGCAAGCGAAAAAACAAGCGCCGCCGACGAGAAGAAGAAGAGCGACGGGTCTCGTTATCTCGTACCTGACGACGTGAGGCAGGGGCGCAGGGCGTGTTCCGTGGCGCCCTCCTCCGGCTCCGGCTCGGCGTCGTGGGAGAGGTGCGCGCGGCAGAGCGAGAAGATGACGAGGGAGCCGGAGAACGCGACGGCCGTGGCGGCGGCGAGCGCGAGGGAGCCTCCCATCGACGACGAGGAGGAGGAGGGAGACATGGATGGCGTTTCCGCGGTCAAGCCTTCGCGCGGTAGGTGGGCGGGGCGGGCGGCGTGCTCTCGGCTTCCGCTTTCCTTCTCCTTGACGGCTGGACTCGCTGGTCGCTGCGCTGCTGCTGGTCCGCTTTGATTTTTCGGGACGGCGCGGCGTGGTGCGTGTGCGGGGGAGCCGCTGACGCCCGCGCGAGGGGGTAATAAAGGCGCGCGCTGGCGCTGCCGTGCGGGCAAGAGGGCCGCGGCTGCCTGCGGTCCCGACTGGGTCCAAACTCCAAGGTAATTACGTCTAATCTGATGTGATCTGCTTTTTCGAGCTGACGCCGACGGTTCATCCGGTTATTCTCTGGGGCCTTGTTTGTTTAGATTGCAAGTTTTTTTCATTTTTTTTCTATCACATCAAATCTTTAACACATGTATGGAGTATTAAATGTAGATAAAAAAATAACTAATTATATAGTTTGATTGTAAATTACGAGATGAATCTTTTGAGACTAGTTAGGCTATAATTAAACAATAATTATCAAATATAAACGAAAATGCTAGAGTATTAAATACTGATTCTTAACCCGATCAAGGCCTGGGGCTTTCATACAGAGCCCGCGGCGAGCTGGAGCTGGAGGTGGACAAAATCGCGAACGGCCCTGGCTGGCGCCTGAGGTGCACGCACCTGCTTTTCACGGGCCCGGGTCGGCTGCGCCTGCGCGGTCTGTTCTCAATTTTTTGGCACGAGATAGGGGTGATAATTTGCTTTGAAACCTTTTTTTTTTGCCTGTTTACTGTTCCCTTGGCTGTAAATATCAAGTAATTTCTCCCACGTTTCAGGATTTTTCCACGCTCGTGATGCTAGACTTCACCGCTTTAATTTGTCGATGAAAATGTGCCAGCATGCACCTGATTTTTTCTATTTTGTTGATAAAAATATCGTTATATTCACATTCACATGGTCCATATCTATTTCTAGGCACAGAAAAAAATGGAATGATCCAACCGTACCGTATAGGTCTATAAATTTTTCATTGACGCTTCAACAAGACGGAATACTTTTCAGACGATATTCTTTGGTTCTAAAAATACATTGACAGCATTCCCATTCTTGAATGAGTTAGTCTTTTTTTTAAGTGTTAACGTTTTACTCAAGGCAATGGGTTAGACAATTGCAATGTTTTTCTTGAACAAATCGGCTGACAGTGTCCATTTCTATTGATATAACAGAAATTATTACAAGCAGATAGCCTTGGGAGGCTACCTACAGTAAGAAGAAAAAGCAGCACACCTCAACAACTAAAACTAGGAAGTCGGTTGGGTAAAGAACAACACACATCATACACCCATATTGTAAAAAACTCTACAACAACACATGCCCACTGCAACAAACACCACAAAAGCTAGTCCAACTCCACATACCACAGTCCCACCAACAACCAATGGTCCGATATATATATGTACCGGACTAGCCACTTGATCGATGACAAGATCGGTAGTGTTGGTCAATGGCAAGATCAGTAGTGAAATGGGGTGCTTGTAGCAAACACAGGCAGAGGATATTGCATGCCTTGGGGCATTTGGCCCCCTCCCCTATTTATCAAATCCCTTTAACAATAATTAATGGTTATATTTTTTCACTCTTTATAGCTCTAATGCTTACCACCCCTATATCTTATAACAAAAAAATAACTAAATTAGGTTCCATTATATAATGGCATATAATTTTTAATAATAATAACAACAATAGATATTTAACCCGCTTAAGCATTCACTAAACCACAAGGCGAGAACACACACTATTACTCTAATTGAGAAGCTATATGGGAATGACAATTTAGAAAACATGCCAGTACAGAAAAAAAAAAGTAAACATTAGCAAGTAACGATAAGGACTTATTGGTTGACCGGTGTTTGAAGGAACTCGTTGTGGCAAGCGCCGCCTTGTCCATCAAACAGTCATCATGCCACCTATAGTATACGCTAAGTGAAGATCGTTGCCAATGCATGCCTAGTGCACTGAATTGTCACATGGAAGACGAGTAGTCAAGGTGGACTCAAGAATCGGAACGTTGCAATGGAAACACGTAGGTGATCGGTGAATGCTTGCACGATGATTCTTGTGGCTAGTCAAGAAACTAAAAAACAACAACCGGGACTTAAGCTAATTGGGCTTAGTGACTAATTACTAATTAGGGACTCTTAATGTTAGAGGGTCTGGCTTGGTTGCGCCACTTGCACCGACCCTAGTATGTTGAGCCACTAGATAGGAAGAGCCATATAGGACTTCGACATGAAGATATACATTGGCCGTGTAGGCCAAGAAACGAAATTAAAGGTCGTACGTAGTGCTATCACTATCGGACTCCTTGAGTTTGCCAAGTGCCCAAAACACTCGGCAAAAGACATAAAACACTCGGCAAATGGTTCGTCGAGTGTAACACTCGGCGAACAGCACTCGTCAAAAAAAATGACGACAAAGCCAACTTTACCGAGTGTTTTTTATTGGCAAAGCCTTTGCCGAGTGCCCGACACTCGGCAAAGCCTTTGCCGAGTGCCCGACACTCGGCAAAGTTGAAACCGAAAAAAACCCGAAATAAATGAGAATTTTTACCCAAAAAAATGGAATTTTTTTATCGATGGAGGCCCCCACCGGCCAGCGCCCACCCATCTGCGACATTTTTCGCGTGAATTTCATGACTACGCGGCCGACACGATTCGAACCCGAGACCTCCCGCTGTGCACGTACAACCTCTATCACTACACCACACTCTCACGTGTGTCCGGATTCCGTTTTAGTTCCCAATATATTATACTAAATCGAATGTAAATTGCATGTTTGAGGCCCTAAACGAATTCAAATAAAAAATTATAAACTACAAAGTTTCATAACTTTTCGAGATCTACACTTTTAGTTTAGAAAGTTTTTCCATCCGAGGTCGTTTACAAAATTTGAATTTTAAAATTTTGAAATTCAAACATAGTTTTGCATGACAAGACGTTTTCAAATCAAAAGGTTGTAAACTACAAAGTTTCATAACTTTTCGAGATCTACACTTTTAGTTTAGAAAGTTTTTCCATCCGAGGTCGTTTACAAAATTTGAATTTTAAAAATTTGAAATTCAAACACAGTTTTGCATGACAAGATTTTTCAAATCAAAAAGTTGTCAACTACAATGTTTCATAACTTTTCGAGATCTACAGAGTTTATTTTGGTTGTTTTTTCATCTGAGGTTGTTTGAAAAGTTCAAATTTTAAAATTTTAAAATTCAAACGCAGTTTTGCATGACAAGATGTTTTCAAATCAAAAAGTTGTCAATTACAAAGTTTCATAACTTTTCGAGATCTACAAAGTTTATTTTGGTTGTTTGGTCATCTGTTCATCCGACATGGTCGTTCTAACATTGTTCACAAATATTATATATCTCTCTTGTAGTTTCATAAACTACAAGAGAGATATGTTAGATTTGTGAACAAATTTATTTTCACTTTGTCGTATGAAGAAAAGACCAAAATAAACATTGTACATCTTGATGAGTTATACAACTTTGTAGTTGAAAACTTTTTTATTTGAATTAATTTACTGCTTTAAAATATGATTTGAAATTTTTTTTGCCGAGTGTAAAAAAATAACACTCGGCAAAGAAGCTCTTTGCCGAGTGTAAAAAAAAACACGGCAAAGAAGCTCTTTACCGAGTGTTAAAAAAAATACTCGGCAAAGAGCCTCTTTGCCGAGTGTCAAAAAAAAAACCGAGTGCCTGAAACACAACACTCGGCAAACCACCTCGCACTCGGTAAAGAGCCGGTCTCCAGTAGCGTATGATACACCGATCAAATAAAACTGATGATTTTAATACATAAGGAAAAACATCGTTGTGTGCTCTGAAAAAGAAAAAAAACATAATTTCCCTCTCGAACAAAAAAAAATGCTAGTGCACATATATACTTCTTCGAGAAAACAATGTGCATTATTTCGTGATCCTTGCTATGTGAAACATATTCTTCCAATGAGGTCATTTGACGTTAACAATCCCTGAGGAGTTGGCACCACAAAGGCATAATGCAGCCACAAACCGCCCCAGCAATAAAATAAGAAGACTTGTTCTCAGGAGATGTCGCCTTTGCTGCGGTTGAACGGTCGATGATTTGTTAAATGAACGGAGCAGGAAGGGTACCGAGTACCGACAGCATAGGAGTACTAGTTAGAGATGTGCCGGTACAGTCTGTAGAGCACAAAGTCAAACAGCTTTGCGTCGTCGCTCGGAAGTCGGAACGCATGAATCTCACATGCACCATTAGAAATTTGGGGAAATTTCTGGTGTGTCGTTAAAAAAGATCGTCATGTCTTGTGAGCTTCTGAAAAAGTTAAACGGTCTTCAGCGTTACTGCTCCAATTTTTTTGTGCCCTCCATGCCACTGCCGTCAGTTTGGGCTCTAACGCCGTCAAACTGCAGGTGTGAAAAGTCGAAAATACCCTTAATTCTAAATATGCCATTAAATTTTTTTGAGCATCTTAACGACTTCAAATGAAAAAAATTCAAAACTAGAAAGTCGTAGATCTCGTCGAGATCTATAATTTTCATATAAAAATTATCTTTATTTAATTTTGCAAAAAAATATATGATTTGATATGATTAATATATCTTAGAAAGTTGAAGTGGTGCGGTCCCTTAGAAATTGATCGTAGTACGGCTTGCGAATTCCAGGAAAAAAGGGCATAACTCCATTGCCCACTTGACAATGTGTCCGTTCGCATCCTTGTTGCTAATTATGTCTCGCAGAGGGTACTCAGTCATGACCACCACACGATATCCGTCGAAGTAATGTTTCAACTTTCGGGATGTTATCAGTATGGCATAGATTAATTTCTGAATCTGTGGGTACCTGGTCTTGGATTCATTGAGCACCTCACTTATGAAATAGATTGGGCGTTGTACCTTGTAGACATGGCCGGGCTCGTCGCGTTCGACCACCATGGCCGTGGAAACCACTCGATTAGTTGCCGCAATGTAAAGCAGGAG